AACCCGCGGGCTCAGGCAATTCACTCACCTCAGCCTCCCAAAGGTGGGGGATTACAGGCTGAGCCACCGAGCCCGGCTGAGGTGCAATCTTTAATAGGATGTAAAGTAGGCCTCAATGAGGAGTATTTTAAAGGTGAGATCATTTCTGTGTGTGTTTTCTTTTCTTTTCTTTTCTTTTTTTTTGGTCTCATTTTTGTTTCTTAGTAAATCTTTAGACTGCTTATGCAGTTTCTGAATTGTCTTTTGTGTCAAAGGGAGACTTCAGCCTGCACCATTCCAGGCCTGGTGTGATCTCAGGTCTCCCCTGCAGCAGCCATCTTCCTCTAGATTATTCTATCTGTGTCAGTCTTTTTTAGCTTTGTGATAAACTGCTCTTCTGACTAGATGACCTCTAAGATACTTTCCACTCTAATATTCTGTGTTTCTCACGTGGCTTCCTTCTTTTCTGTGAGTCTCTTTATGCCCTTGTCTTCCTCGGAGGAAAGCTTGAGCTCCAGATAAAGAATAATCAATCCTTTGCACGTAGCCACACCAACTTAACTTAATGGCTGCACCCACTCAAGGGAGTATGAATGAATGATTAATCACCCCAACTGAAGTTGGAACCAGCCCAAGAGAAGGAACTTTTCTGCATTCTGATTATTTAAATTTAATGTGTACTCTTCCCAATTTTAGCTATGGTATTTCTAGCATGAAAGTAAATGGCATTTTGTTACCATAGTGTACTCATTCTACCCTATGAAGTGAAACGGGCCAAAAATAAAAGTTTAGAAAGTGTTTGAATGTGTTCTGGATTATATATATGTAATAGGTTTCATTGTGGGTTACTTAGATGTTTGAGAGGTTTATCTTCCTGACCTTAAAGGTTAAAGAGGACCATGATCTTTCTCCCTGCAATTCTGCTACACTGGCAACCTGTGGTACGTATGCCAGCAGATATACAATCTAACTTCTAACACCATGATAGAATCTGGGTCAAAAGGCCAGTGTCTGCAATGTCTTAGTAAAACTAGGATAGTAACAGACTCATGAATGACTTTTAAAAAGCTACTTCTAGCCGGGTTCGGTGGCTCAGCCTGTAATCCCATGCCGTTGGGAAGCTGAGGTGAGTGGATTGACTGAGCCCGCGGGTTCAAGACCCGCCTGGGCAGGGAAACCTCATCTCTGCAATAAATCAAAAAATCAGCGCATGCCTGTAATTCCGGCTACCTGGAAGGCTGAGGCGGAAGGATCGCCGGAGCCCAGCAGGTGGAGGCTGTGGTGGCACTGCACTCCAGTCTGGGCGACAGAGTGACTCCAACTCAAAAAAAAAAAAAAAAAAGCTACTTGTAGCCGGGCTCGGTGACTCAGCCTGTAATTCCGCGCTTTGGGAGGCTGAGGTGACTTCCTATTTTCTTTTTTTTGAGTTGGAGTCTCACTGTTGCCCAGACTGGAGTGCAGTGGCCGCTCCGGGCCACCGCAGCCTCGACCCACTGGGATCCGGCAATCCTTCCACCTCAGCCTTACAAGGAGCTGGAACTACAGGTGCGTGCTACCATGCCCGGCTAATTTTTTTTTTATTTATTGTAGAGATGAGGTCTTGCCTGCCCAGGCGGGTCACGAACCCAGGGACTCAGGCAATCCACTCACCTTGTTGAACCCGGGACTCTAATGAGAGAGATAGAGACCACAAAGAGCCAGCTCCGATGCAAACACACGAGGGTCTTTATTCAGGCTTGAGTCTGGGCTCACGCCCGAAGCAGCAGCTTCAGGGACCAAAGCCGCGATTCACAATGGCAAGCAGTTTTTATGCACAATTACAGAGGGAGGGGAAAGAACTCCAAACTTGATTTTACATGATTGGGTAATTTCTCCTAATGGGTACGGGAACACTTGGTATTGGTGGGTGCTGCCCGTGATTGACAGAAACCCATGTAATAGGTCGAGTGGAATGTTAGAAAAGTTAGGTCCATACAGTCCCTGCTTATGAAGTAACCTGAGCCGGCAGACAAAGGGTTACATTAGCCCTTTTAGTTTACAGATCCAGCCCAAGGTTTGCTTAGGAAAGCTTGTTTGCTTAACTTTTACATAACATAACATAGTCATTATGGGACAACAAAAGCCAAACTTAACAAAGTTTTAAATATGAATGCTGCAAACACATACAATGAATGTGGGGTAGAAAATCATATACTAATTCTGGGAATTTATAATAGCAAGCTTATTATAGCAAGGTGGTTACTTTTATAAAAGTCTTTGTTCCCTGCAGGTTTACATAGCCACTGTGTGTAAATTATCACTGAGATAAAAACCGGTGATAAAGCCCACCTAGAGAGGAGCTGGCTCCTCTGAGTCTGCTGCCACCTTGTAGGAATGTTTGAAAGAGGCTTATCGCTTTATTATTTACATCCTGTTGTAAAAGCATAAGTTAGCCTGCTAGTTTGGGGCTGACAATGCTTAACCCAAGAATTCTAAATACAATCACTGCTTAAAACCCGACATATGCCTAATTCTACGGGGTCTGAGGTAGGATTTAAAGTACTAAGATTTCATAAAATACATGAGGTAGGAATACACAAAATATATAGTAAACATTAGGTGGGGATATATGAAATATAGTGAACTAAACGCTACTTTTACAGCAAATAAGTTTCTTGGTTTCTTGGGTCTCTCAATAGCATGCTCTTAACCTAAATCTATTGTTGTCCTCTCAACCTCAGCCTCCCAAAGGCACGGGATTACAGGCTGAGCCACCAGCCCGGCTGCCTATTTTCTCTTAGTGTAAAATTCAGTTCCTTCTTAAAATGCTAATTTTTCAAAACTTTTAAATTTTTTATTTTAAAGATGTGTGTACAATTTAGGGATAGGTATACAAATGTTCATTATGCAGGTATCCTTGTTGATGAGGTGTGCCACCCCTCCCCTGGCAGTTTCCCTCAACTGCCAATCCCCCCACCCCCCCCCCGCAGTTTCCCACTATTGCCAGTCCCTTTCTTATAGTATTATGATAATTGTTCAAAGTTCGCTTATGTGTGAGAACATATGGTACTCTGTTCTTTGTTTCTGTGAAAGATCACTGAGTATGATAAACTCTAAATCCATTCAAGTTGCTGTGAAGTCCATATGTTTGTACTTTATGGCTGCATACTACTCCATTGTGTATATGTACCACATTTTAAAATGCTAATTTTAAAAAATTGTTCTCAGTTTTATACATATTTCCTTTAGTGTGAATACTTCTCTATGACATGTGTCAATGGCTTTCTTTATAAAAATGACCACATCTGTTTATATAGTAGTAGGTTTTTTGTTTTGTTTTTAGGCTTTCTTTTACTTCCCTTTGACTCCCAAGAGGAGGAAGTATAGTTTAAGTTTTCTAGGATAATATGACAGTACTTACCCTTTTCTGAGCTTTAGAATTATCCCACAGAGAACAACGATGGGTACAATAAAGATGATCATACCAGAAAAAATGCCTAGGCAGTAAAACAAGATAGTTAAATGCATGGAAAATATTATGCATAGGTTTAAAAATTCTACCTAAATATCTAGTCCCACTAGAGGCCGCCAATTTTTTCTTTAGATGTTACTATAATTTCTGCTTTGCTCTGGTTTTAATCTAGAGCATTAGTCTCACTACCACAGCATTATAGTTAAGGGATGAACAGAGCAGTTTTATAACCCTTAGTCTAATTGCAGTCTTTCCAGATATAAGTGAGAACCAGCAATGTAGCTGCTGGACTCCAGCTCTCCATGGCCCTGTCCATGTTGCTTTGTAAGACTTAAGACACAGGCTGTTCTATGCATCAGAAATTTCCTTGGAAGCAAATTCTATTAATATTATAAAACTATTTTTTTCTTATAGATGTAGATCACAGAAATGGGCTCAGAAAACTAGTCTTATGGCTTTTCATTTGCATAAATGGGCATGACTACCATCTGGAAGCATGCTTTCAGGCTATAAACCCAAGAGGAAGTTGCATTCTCTAGTCACATTAAAATAATAAAAAAAAATGTAACACTGATGAATGATTATTCATTTGTAATAGTTCAAAGATAGTACCTCTGATGAAGGTTACTCTGTATGCAAATAAGGATGCCAGTTTCACCACACTCTAGCCTAAATATTATTTTCTTTCTAGTTTCTCTTTTTACATTTCATCACTATAAGTGGATACTTACTGTTAAAGATGCTAGAATTCCTCAGCAAACCCTTCATAAAACTTACCAATTAGGAGAGCAACTTGTGGGCCTAAAAGGAAGACAAAAGCCACAAAAACATCAGTCTGGTGTGCCAATATGATTGAACAGGACCTCAGCTAGTGTGATAAATTGTCCTGATGTTTCTTCAATACTCAGTCTAATATTTTTCTGGATAAAAAGTCACTAGTTTCACTGACACACTCTCGTTTTATCCTATGCATTCAGTGAAACCTTTTTTTCTTATAGATGTGAAATTCAGTGAAACCTTTTTTTCTTTCTAAATTAATATTTTTGTCATAAAAGTAATATAATTATAGCAGAAAATGTGTAAAAAAAGAACAAAAGTATTGCCCATAATTCTAATACCCAAAAATGTTTGGTACATTCTCTTCTGATACATGTTCCTATGCATCTAAGTTTTCACATAATTATATAATATAAATGCAACAGAGGCAAACTAATATCATCTATCTATTCTAGAAGATGTATCAGTGTATTCAGTTATTTTTATTGTATATTTAAGTTGTTTTTAGTTTTCTTTGTTATGAAACCCTTAATAAAATACATTAAATATCTTTATATTTTACATTATTTCATTAGATTGGATTCCTAGGAGAGATAACTGACATTAATATTTGTAATATTCTCTACATACTTTTCATAATTGTTTTCATAAGAGTTTTACCAATTTGCAGTGGTACTTTCAACATATAAGGATATCAGTTTCATCACATCCCTGCTTTTTATTGGGTGTTCACATAAAAACCTTTTTGTTGTTGTTAATTTAATGGGCAATTAAAAAATGTTACCTCATTCTTTTTTTTTCTGTTTCTTCTGTTCTAGAGACATTAAACAGCTTCCATATATTTATATGCTAAAGTAAGTAGATATTTACACCTTTTCTCCAAATCCTGCATTCTAAGATAGTTTCTGCATTTCCCTGCTCCTCTTTTAGGGCTATGTTGTGTTAACTGTGCAGAAAAAACAAAACAAAACAAAAAAAACTCCTTTTACTTAGAGATGGCATGGAGACGTTTTGTGAAATAAGACGATCCAGAAGGTGAGGAGAATATTAAGAGATATGTAACTTAAATAAGTCAACTTGTGCTAGAGCTTCTGAGAGACAGTCTGGGTGGAAGAGCGAGAAGCTACATTCTGGGAAAGCAGTTGCTCTAATTAATGAAACCCTAGGGGACAGAAATGGGTAAAGTAGATTTTAGGATATTTTTATGAGTGTTACATAGTGTAATTCTTCTTTAATCCTCTCTGAGAGATTCTAGTGAAAATTCTCTTAGTTTTTACATCTTCTCGAGAGTTGAACTTATTTGTCTTGCATGAAACACCATGCTAACTACTCTTGAGAAAGCATAGTTAAATATGGATTACATGTATTAATTCTGGCCTTAATGGGGAGCATGAGATCACCCCTTGCTCTGAAGTTGTAGATAGAGTCAGGCCTCTGAAATAATTGAGCCACTGAAATGGGGATATGGAGGATCTGAACATTCCAAGAAATTATTCTCCTCTGACGCTGTACTGAGGTTCCTTTTCCTGTTTGGATTGCTATTCTTTCTCAAAATTCTCTATGGTGTGTTATTCAACGTCTGGACCACCTCCCCAGTTTATTTCTTCACCTTCCATTTTAGGAAGACCTAGGACTGGTATCTTGAGCAATCTATCCCAAGCCTTAGGGATAATACTTTTTTCCCCCTCCATTTTCCAAGGTCTCTCTCTTTTTTTTTCCTTTTACTACAAAGCAGTATGACTTCAAAGACCAAGACTAGTGAAGATACTGGGAACAAGAAGGCAAAGGGGCCTGCTTTTAGTCTCTTCGTCCAGGTGGAACAAAAGGAGCTCACATATGGTCCAACTCAATTCATAAGTCTACTAAAGTCAGAATTCCAAGAACCTACTGGTTAACTGTTAGTTAGCCCATGCTTATTCTTTATATTATCTCCTTCATCAATCTGAAGAACTGCTTATTGTATGGTGTTTGGGAACCTGGCCTAATAGCTTTCCATTTCATTATGACAATATTGGAATTTTTTCTTTTGTTGAATTATATACTAAGATCCTTTGTCCATTTATTTCTAGTACACAGTCTCTACAGATAGGTAGATTACCTGGTTGGATCCAGAGTACCCCATTTTGTGGTCTTGGAAAAGTTACCAAACCCTCTACTTCTCAGTTTCCACATCTATAAATGGGATAATAAGAATACTATCCTCCTCATAGGTTTTTGTATCATTAAATTAGAATCTATCTATCTTTGAATAGTGGTTCTAAGTAGTCAATATATGTTAACTTGTTTTTACAACTAATACTACTACTACAATCACCACTACTGCTACTTGTATGATAACACTATTAACACTTCATTGTTTTTCCCACAAATTTCTTATCTACCTATTGCTTTCCTATTTACTTTTGAAAGTTCATAAGTTCTAAGTCAAGTTGGTCAACGGGTCAAAAAAAACCACCACGTTTTATGATTTTTTTTTTTTTCTATCATATCTCATTTTCAAAAGTTGGCCTACTTCTGGTTGTTTGATAAACTACTTTTATTTTTTAAATTTAGCTTTTCTATAATTTGACTTTTAAAACTTTAAAAATTTTATTATAACTGGTATGTATTGAATGATAAAAAGAACAGCTTTTTTTTCTATTGCTAGCTATATTATTTTATAACTTTCCTTTTCCCATGGATTTATGATGTTTTCATTATTGTATCTGTAGGACGCTTTCTTTTTATTTGAAATAGCCTTTATTTTATTAATATAAATTTTGTTTCATTTATTTATATGTCTATTTTTGACCTGGTACAAAGTGGTTTATGTAATATGGCTTTATATTTTGTTATGGTATTTGGTAGGGTTAGTCTCTAATTATCTGAATTTTCTATCAATCTTAGCCAGATCTTCAGAATATTCTAATAGCATTCAGGTAGTTATCCAATGAACTTTTTGCCAAAGAAGTTAATATAATTTTATATTAAGGGAGTTAGTGTAATTTGATATTATTTGTTAATATAATTTGATATTAAGCTGATAATTTAGAATTATTATTTGTGAGTCAGATCAGTTAACACATTTAAGGGATTAACTGTAAAAATGGATCTTGAACAATCTTGGCATATAACCACATATTATAAATAAGGATCAAAAGAGTTGAGGAGAAGGAAAAGTGTAGCACTAACTTGGATAAACAATTCATTTTGCTCATCTCCTTGACGTGTACAAACTCACGCCTTAGGATTTTCCATCATACAGTACCCCCAGTAGCCAGCAGAGGGCCACACTTGATTTCTGTATCTTCTGGATCCAGCTATACTAGATTAAAATCCTGTAGCCTACAACAGTGAGGAAGACTGGTCAGTTGCTCTAATGTACTCCCTGACTCATGCTGAAAACATGTCCTAAGGCCTACTCTACCACTGATGTGCTACTGGCTTTTAAGGCTCACAGGCTGTAAATAAATTATTACAATGTGATGCGTGCAACCATAGAGTGATAGAAAAAAGATGCAGAGATGAGGTGAGAAGTATGAGAAGAGAAAGACTGGCCTTCCTCTCACTGCTATGGGAATTTTGGGAGGAGATGGGCATGAGTAAGGGCTAGGTCCTTAGCTCCTAGCATCTGCCATAAACATCACTCTGCACTTGATGCCAGAATGGATGAATGAATGAGCAGTAACCATGACTAGGAAAGGCCCACATTCCTTGCACTTGCACTTACGAGATATACATATGGCCAGAGGAGGGTCCCATCTGTTATCTGCCTGGCACTGACTCCAGGGACTGCCTTCCAGTGTATACCCATCTTCACACTCCAAAGTTATGTTATCTCCATAGCGATATACCTTCTTCATTTCCAACTTCTTCTGGACTCCATTCATAAACAGTGGGAGGCTACAATCTACCTCTGAAATTATAAAAATCAAAAATAAATTGATATTTTAATGTTTACTGCTAGTTTTATTTAACATACTAGAAATATCTATGACCCCAAAATCTACTTTGCCCTTGGCAAAGGTGAGGCATGTTTTCAATCAAGATTTATTGATTCTGGCTTGGTGCAGTAATCACGCCTTAATCCCAGCACTCCGAGTTGAGAGGCTATTGCTAAGCCTAGGAGTTCAAGACCAGGCTGGGCAACATAGCAAGACCTTGTCTCAAAAAAAAAAAAAAAAAATTATTGATTCTCCTCCTACAAATACCTTATGATTTAAAATTCTCTGAGTTTCATTTCTTAATGTAAAGAAAGAAAATATGGGATGTACAAGGGGGACTCCCTCCCAAAACTTGGATTTATAAAAATTTGTATATTTATTCTTACATCTTTAAACTTCAGTCACCTTCAAAGTACTCTCCATTTGATATAATACACCTGTTGAGATGCTTTTCCCACCATTCAAAACAGTTTTTAACTCGTCAGTTTTGATGTCTTTTAGTGTTTCTAATGTTTTTTGTTTCACCTCTTCCAAATTGACAAAATGTTTCCCTTTGAGGACTTTTTTTTTTTTAGTTGGAGTCTCACTCTGTCATCCAGACTGGAGTGCAGTGGCCGCTCCTGGCCACCGCAGGC